TCCCAGACACTTTTTTGTTTTTTCAAGAAAGATTTTTGCTATAGAGCACTGTGCACTTGCCAGAGAGACAGAGAGATTGAAAGCAAGAAACCACCCCCAGAGAGGGGATGGCCAAGCCACAGTCTCTTTTCCTCTGTTCTCCTTTTGGGATTTTGGGCATGCACACACATGCACACACATGCACCCAGAGTGAGTTTTAAGCCACTGGGTCTGGGACTCGACTCATGGTTGATTACGTGGGAATCCAGCGACATAACCGTTATCCATCTGCCAGTCCCTAGAACACTTGTGTTTTGTAAGCTCATGTATTTATTTCCTCTATCAGAGAGAGAGACAGCACCCGTAACAAGGTCCTGAGTCTGCAATCTCATATCTCAGCCAGCTCCGGGTCACAGCACGTGTGTGCCCGGCCTGCTCAAGTCGGGCTTCACTGTGAACTGAAGTTTCCCACGTGGCTCAGCCTGGCAGAGCACCGTGCTTCACTGCTGCACCGTCTGGCTCCCTCTGCCTGGCACCTTCCCCACCAGATATTCCGGAGCTGGCTCTTGCTCGTGTTCAGGCCTAAGCTCAGAGAGATGCATTCGAACCACCCAGCCACCGTCTAATGTATCACTGTTTTGTTTCATAAAGAGCTCTCTGCCCACTGGATGTTAACCCGTGTATATTCGTGTGTATCTTTCTTCTCCCACCCTAGAAAAGAACCTCCATGAGAGCAAGGATTTTGTCGTTCTTCCCGGTGTCGCCAGCTCCAAGGTCGGGGCCTGGACACAGCGCGCTCTGCTATTTACTGAACATGAAGGAATGAATGAGTGTCGTATCTTCTCACATAACAGATGAAAAAACACCCCTAAGTCCCCCTCACGTCCATCACGCAGCTGTGGCCCCATCTAATACCCTCTCTCCCGCCTTTACTCTGGAACACGTCTCCTCCCCCGCACCACCCGAGCCAGGACCTAGTCCGTGGTCTTCTGCAAAATAAGAACCATTTCAAGTGAAAATGGCCTCCAGACCCGCCCTGTGCTCCAGGTCCCATGGGGCCGGGGTGCTGAGAGCAGCTGGAAGAATACATTCCTGCACCCCACATCCAGCTGAGGGCCTCCCCGGGACTGCCACTGTTGCCTAGGAAATGGCTCTGCAAGGAGCACTTGGCATCAGCCCGAGGCAGCCTTCTGCCTCTTTGGCAGACACCCTGGACTTCAGAGACGAAGACGAGGCCCTGCCTTTCTTCACGATCCCACTGACATGGACCATTTACTGCAGTGTGGGGCTGAGAGCGAGGAGGAGGGGGCAGGCTGCTGAGCCCCATTCTCCCAGACAGAAGCCACCAACAGAACCCCACCTGCCTGGGTCCTGAGAGCAAAATTTGCCTGAGGACCTGTGCCCAGAACCTACCCTGGCTTCTAGTCCTGGGCCTAGGAGAAGCCACCGCACTCTGGTCCTAGGCCCCATCATATCTCCACAGTTTTTTTTCTTGAGAGATTTTGCTACAGGGTTTGTGCACTCGCTGGAGAGACAGACAAAGAGACAGAAAGTGAGGAATCACCCCCCAGGGGGGATAACCACACCACAATCCCTTTTCCTCCATTCTCCTCTGGGATCTTGGACACGCATACACACCTGCCCAACGTGAGTTTTAAGTCACCAGGTCTGGGACTTGAACCACAGACGACTACATGGGAGTCCAGCGACGTAACCATTACACCATCTGCTAGTCCCCACCTCCACCTGTCTTGGGCCAATTAATCTACACTCCTCAGCACAGGTTACCACATACGAGAGCAGGAAACCAAAGTGACAGTGGCTGCAAGCCTGGCTTTCTCGCTTGCTAAGGGGGTGTGTTAACCTCTTCACACCTTGGTCTTCTCCTGCCTTTCAATGCCACTAAAAACACCCTCATCACAGTTGCTAGGGGCCTCAATGTTCCAAGTCCATATTTACTGCTTCTTCTTTTTATAAACTGCTATAGGGCATATGCATTCACCAGACAGAGGAGAGAGAGAATGCCCCCCCCCCCCGTGCTACAATCCCTTCTTCAATTCTCCATCCTGTCAGGATTTGGGGGATGTATACATATATGCCTGGTGTGTTTTTCAATTTGCTGGGGCTGGGATTTGAACCAGACTTGGGAACCAGCTCCCTTAACCAGTGGGCCATAGGACGGCCCAGGTTTACTTTAAATTTCACATTTTCTCTCAAGCCTCACCCCTTCACCCTGTCCCAGTCCTCTATCCTGTTATTTCTTCCCAGAATGCATTACTTCCTGAAATCATCTTACCTATTTGATCATTCTTGTATTTTAGTTCCCTCACCCAGTGCCAGCTAAGAGAGACAGTTCTTCCTCTCTTGTTCATATAATAACTATGGGCTTAAAACTGTGACTGGCACGTGGAAGTCACTTGAGGATGGGTTCCAATGAAACTAAGGTAACAAAAAATAAAGGGAAGACGTGATATCTTGAAAACAGTGTCGCCAATCTAGGAGGGCAGCAGAAGGAAGTCCCATGATAATAGCTATGCAACAATCAGTCTGAGCAAGATAGGATTAAGAATCTCGGGGCCAGCAGGTGGTGTGGTGGATAAGGGTGCTGGATTCCCACATGGCCAACCATGGTTCAAGTCCTGGACCTGGTGGCTTGCTTTCTCGCTTTCCCTTTCTCTCTCTCTCTCTCATCAAATAAAGAAAAAAGAAAAAACAACAACAAATGGAAATAAATAAATAATTCTTTAAAAAAAAAAAAAGAATCTAGATGGGGGGGCGGCAGGTGGTGTGGTGATTAAGGGTGCTGGACTCCCACATGGCCGACTGTGGTTCAAATCCCAGACCTGGTGGCTTGCTTTCTCACTTTCTCTCTGTTTCTTTTTCTTACTCTGTCCTTCTCTGATCAAATTAAAAATAAATAAAGCTGAATACAATAATTTTATTTTTTTTGAGAGAGATTTTTTCGCTATAGGGCGTGTGCGCTCGCCAGACAGACAGAGAGAGACATAGAGACAGAAAGCGAGAAATCACCCCTCAGGGGGGATGGCCACGCCGCAATCCCTTCTCCTCCATTCTCCTCTCGGGATCATGGGCACGCACGCACACGCGCCCAGCGTGAGTTTTAAGCCACCGCGTCCGGGACGCGAACCGCGGTCGACTACGTGGGAGTCCAGCGACATAGCCATTACGCTAACTGCTGGTTCCCAATAAAATAATTATTTAAAAAAAAAAATCTAGATGGGGTTCTGCCAGGAAAAAAACAAAAACAAAAAACAAACAAAAAAAACAACCTCCATGTGATAGAGTAAAACCGAGATGGTAAATTATATTTTTAAAATTTGCTAGAGCACGTGTGTCCTCGCCAGAGAAAGAGTGACAGAAGTAGAGGGAGAAGGAGAAAGTACCTCCCCAGTGTGGCATGGTCACACCAAAATCCAATCCCTTCCGCATTTCTCCACCTGTTGGGATTCTGGGCATACTCATGCACACATCCAATGTACATTTCAAGCCTTCGGGGCTGGGATTCAAACTGTGCAGTTGGCCATGTGAAATCCAGCTGCCTTTACCACCAGGCTATAGAGCCAGCCTAGATGCTAAATAATCTTGGAGTAGAAGGCATATTATTTTCTGGACAATCATTTTTTTAAGGCAAAAATAAACTCCAGGAAAAACTAAAAGTTATTTTTAAAAACGTCTTGGACTCAGGAACAGCCCGTGATGTGTTAGTTAAGGCAATTGGATCTCACATGGCTAACCACATGGTTCAAATTTCCCAGCAGCTTGGGAAACACGCTAGGTGCATGTGTATGCCCAAAATCCTGAAAGGAGAAATAAATGAAGGAGAAGGAATTACTTTGTGACCACTTCCCATAGGTGGGGAGCTTTCTCACTCCCCTCTCTGCAGAGTGCATGAACTCTCTAGAAAAATTAAAAACCAAAACAACAACAACAAAAAAACACCTGGGAATCAATATAAAACCATTTAATATGAAGCATGATAGTCATCTTGCTGCAATGTTATTCTCCAATGAATGACCAGAGATCAAGAAACAGACCGACAGAACAGGAGGTGCAATCCTAACATACTACTTGGCCTTGAGGAAAACAGTCCTGATTTAATGGAGTGCCGGTGTGTAGGCAAGGTTTTCAGGGCTCTGCATTTAATAACATTTAACTCTCACAGCTCTGTAAGCATTATTACGCCTCCTACTTCTGAGGTCACAGAGCTAGATTTATACCTAGGCTGTGAGACCTGGAGGACTTCCCAGAGCAGAATTTATAACTTCCTGAAACTATCTTACTTATTTGGTCATTATATATTTATTTATTTTATTTATTTTTGAGAGAGAGATTTTTGCTGTAGGACGTGTGTACCCACTAGAGAGACAGAAAGCAAGAAATTGCCCCCCAGAGGGGTGGCCACACTGTGGGGCCCTTTTCTTCCATTTTCCTCTTGGGATTTTGGGCATGCACACACACATGCCTGGTGTGAGTTTTAAACTGCTGGGTCCAAGACTCAAACTGCGGTCAACTATGGGGTAGGCTAGGGCCTTAAGCACTGTGCCACCTGCTGGCCCTATGGTCATTTTAAAAAAAGAATGACTATTTATTTAATTTTATTTATTATTATTTTAATTTGCTATAGAGCACATATGCCCACCAGAGAGAAAGAGAGAAGAGAGTGAAAGAGGAAGCAAGCCACCAGGTCTAGGACTTGAACCACAGTTGGCCATGTGGGAAGCCAGTGACTCAACCACCATGTCAACTCCCATTTGGTCATTCTTGCTCCTAGAAACCAAGCCACCTGATGTTTAGGCCTTGGTCCTTCTTGCTAAGAAGCAGAGGATACTACATTCAGTCATGTGAGTGTGCACGGGCGTGCGCGCGCGTGCGCACACACACACACACACACACACACACATACACACACCTACTCCTGGGAACCAGAAGGCAAAGCCAAGGAGCAGTGGCGCTAATCTAGACTGAACAGCCAGAATGGCAGGGCCAGAGGAGGGCCTTACCTTCCTGCAGTCTTTGCAGAACACCGACGAGCTGCCCAGGAAGCCCAGCACCTCCCCACAGAGCAGACACTGGGAGAGGCCGTTCCCCATCACATTCCGTCTCATGGTCTCCAGCCGCTCCACCAGCCGCCTGCAGCACAGAACACAAAGTCGGTCAGAGGGAATGGGCTTCCTGTCCCCGCTCCACCACTGCCTGGGCACAGCTGCCTCGGAACCCCAACACCATAGCATGCTGCATGGATGTGCCCTCACCTGAGCCCTGTTCCCTGTCCAAGCCCTTCCCCTGGCTAACTTCTAACCATTCATTCACTCACCAACTATTAACTGAGCACCTACAATGTGCCAGACCCCGGGGATATTGTAACAAACAAGCCAGAGACAGACGTGGCCCCTACTCTCATGGAACTCATGTTCACAGGAGAACCCGTGAACAAGGACACTGATCCCTACAGGGAGAGGCACCCTGGAATGGGAATAGTGGAGGGAAGAAGGACGGGGACCAGGAGCATGTGAGATGGGGACCAGGGAAGGCCCTCTGAGAACATTCAAACCGAGCAGAACGGTGAGGACCAAGCCACGCGGAGAGCAGTGGGGCAGAGGGACAGAAAGTGCCCACAGTTGCGGGGCAGAAACAGCGTGGCACGTGAGTAGGAGGTCAGGCTACCGGGCAGCCAGAGGGAGACTGGGATCAGCGAGGCTGCAGGGGCAAGCAAGGACCAGACGACGCGGGGGCTGTAGGTCACAAAACGGAGCTCAGATTCATCTCCGAGATGAAGATGAAGCCACCGAAGAGTTTTAAGTAGGGGCGTGATTGTCTCTGAGTGCCATTTTAAAAAACTCTCTCTGGCTTCTGTGGACAGCTGGGGAGAGCAGGGCGGTGAGCGGGGGTGAGGAGGCCAGGAGAAGGCTGGACCGTGGTCCTGGGAGGGAGGGTGGGGACTGGGACGGGCTGGCTTTCAGAAGCAGCATCGATAGGTTCGTGGTTGGAGGGACATGAGAGAGAGATCTAGGACGACGTGGAGGCTTTTGGTTTGAGAAACTGGGTAAATGGAGAGGCTGGTGGAGGAAAGGAGAAGCACTCCTCTTGGAAGCCATTAGATGTCACGTATCCCAGAGCCTTCCCTGAACCCCACTGGGCACCTCTCCCTGGAGCCCACAGCCCCCCGGCACGCAGTAACCTGTTCTACAACAACCTGACACACTACAACCTCCACGAACCTCTTCTGTGTTATTGGCCTATGTTTATACTACTCGGTGGGCAGGCACTTGCTGAAAATTCCTGAATGAATGGGTGTGTAATCTCTCTAATCATCGTAAGTCCCCAGTGAGGATGATGCTATTTTCCCCATTTTAAAGATAAGACTGAGGCTTGGGGCTGGCAGGTAGTGTAGTGGTTAGAGGGACTGACTCCCACATGGTTGACCACAGTTCGAGTCCCAGACTGGCAGGTTGCTTTCTCGCTTTCCCTCTTCCTCTCTCTCTCTGTCCCTCCCTGGTCGAATTTAAATAAACCAATCAATCAATAAAGTTAAATAAAATAATTCTTTTAATAAAAGGAAGAAGAAGACTGAGGCTCAGCAATGTGAGTCGCTTGCCAGGGACGCACAGCTCCTAAGAGGAGGAGCCAGGGTTTACATCCAGGCCTAACTGCCCAGCCCCACCCCACCACCGCCCCACACTTGCCCCTGAGGGAGCGCAGGCTGGGCTGTGAGGCTGCCTCGTCCAGCAAGCACTTCTGGCTTCCCCAGGGGTCATGCTCCCTCACCCAGGGGCCTGCAGGGAAGCAAACCTAGTCCAGCCCTGGCATAGCCCATTTCTTCTTGGGCACTCTCATTCGATACGCCCTGTTTCTCCACACCCCATATAAACACTCGGGCTGCGACCCCCCACCTGAATGATGAACCTGAGGCACTGCCTTCTGGGTCATTCCACGCCCCTGCCAAACCCAGTGCTCACGGTGGGGCCGGAGGATAGAAGGATTCCCTTAGGTGGCCCAGGGAGTATAGAAGATAGCAGCTGACATCGGAGGGTGCCCTGCGCTTCCACAGCACAAAGGAGCCCACAACGAAACACGGTCACCCCCATGCTTCCTGCACCCCCTGCTGTGGGAGCCCAAGGGATGCCAGCCAGTCAGCAGAGTCTGGCCTCAGGGCATAGACCTGAGAGGATGGAGCCCCAGCCAGGTTAGATTTTAAAAACTAATGGTGAAATACAACTAGTCAGAGAACCAGCAGGTGGTGTGGTGTTTAAGGTGTTAGACACTCCCACATGGGCAATCATGGTTCAAGTCCCGGATCTGGTGGCTTACTTTCTCGCTTTCTCTCTCTCTCTCTCTTTGGTCAAATTAAAATAAATGAATGAATAAATGAAATTATTATTAAAAAAATGAAATACAACTAGCTTGATAGCGATGCTTTCTGTATGAAATGAGAGGAAAATGTCCATATTACTGAGCTACATACAGCAGGCTGCTAGGACAGCAGTGCTCTTCACAGGGCACCTTCATCTCCTAAATCTGCATTTCTACGGTGTCTGTCTTTGCTTTTGTCTTTAATTATCATATAATTAACAGAAAAGATAAATCAGAAAGGAACAGAAAGAATCTAATTAACTCCTGTCCAATGCAATGCTTTGCATTTGTTTTTCCACTCGTTCAGATTTTCTAGGAAACATGGATGGCTTTTGTAATTAAACAATGACACGACACAAACATGCAGGAGAACGGAGTTGGAGTTGTGATCCACCCTGGATGTGAGGCCAGAAAATCTCAGAAGAGCTGGAGAGCGCCTCCTGCTGATGGGTGAGTCAGGGCTCAGCCTCAATTCTCTCCTGGAGTAAACCACAGGGGCCCTGCAGGCGTGCAAACCAAACGGCCCTCACGCGCTTCACCCCGTTCACTCGTGCTCCCTCAGCCTCGGGCCCACACGGTGGCTGTGCCCATCTCACAGAGGGCACTGAGGCTTTGGTGGGCTGGGGGCCTACACTCTGGGGTGCTCAGGCCGAGAATCTGGGGAAGGGCTCGAGTCAGTGACCTCCTGACTTGATCCCAGTGGTGACAGAGCACCGGGACCCAGAGCGCCCCTCAGTGCTGCCCTGCCTGCTGGGCAGGCACCAAACGCTCTTGCCTTCTTCCCGGGGTGCCCCCCGCCCTCACCCGATCCTCTGCTGCTCCAGGACGTCGAGCCGCTCGGCCCTCTGGATGACCTGCAGGATGGCGCCCACCTCCGCCGGGCTCAGGCACTGGCTCCTCCTCTGCTTCTCCGTCTGGTAGGTGTGCACAGACCAGCCCGTCTGCAGCCTCGAGAGAACACAGACGGCGTCAAGTCCAACACAGACAGTAGCCGGCGCGAACCCCGGCACCACCACAGCGTCCACAGTCTTCCTCCCAGAACAGTCTGGGGACAGTCCAGGTGCGATGTGCTGAGGGCAAGGGTACAGACAATGGAGACAGGCAGGCACGGGCTCGGGGTGCCGGCTCTGCCGTCCGCCAGCTAAAGATAGCAGCCCCATCTTAGCATCTGGGAGGCGGAGGGGACAGGGGAGACGACTGCAAACAGAGAAGGCCGGTGTCACAGCAGGTGAGGTTTCAAGGGAGGCACACACGATTACCGAGAGGAGTGAAAGCTTAGATCTGAGTCCATAAGAAAATAAGACATTATTACGGGTTAGGAAATTATACTTAGATTTAGAAACAAACCCGGAGGGTATCAGGAGATTGGTATGCATTCTGAACACTAGCAGGTTCAAGTGCAGGAGGAGACAGAGTGGCACAAGAGGAGACGTGGCGAGGGCAGGTGGCACTGTGCGGCGGGGCTGGGGCCTGGCTCGGGGCTTTAGCTGCCTCCATCCCTCCAGGCAGCAGGACAAGGGCCCCTGAGGCCATCGGCAAAGGTCAAATACGTTCTATTCTTCTGCACAGGGAGAGAATGGCAACCTCAAACCAAGCCCCAAACTGCCTGCCCTGGGTCCCTACTTCTGAGACACCTGGTGCTACGTGTTGCGAATACAGAGAGTGACGAGACAGAAGTCACTGCCTGAAGAAGCAACAGGATCAGTGAGGGAGGCAGATGCCAACTCGATCACGCAGATGCGTCTTCGGTGAGAAACCGCAAGGAGAGCTATTCATCCGCAGTTACTTAGGGGGCATTAGGTGCTGGGGCTTGCTGTTAGGTGGGACGCGCGGGTGGGTGTTTCGAGGATCTATAAATACAGGGACTTACCTAGCAGAGGCATGGTGCTTTCTTTCTTTTTAACATTTTATTTATTTCTTCCATGAGAGAGACACAGAGAATACCCCAACAGGTTCTTGACGCTGTGATCACCCCCAGCTTTCAGCTAGCCCCAGATCACGGGAAAACACATACCCAGCATACTCAGGGAGGTTCCTGGGCTTGAACCAGGACTGTCTCATGTGAGTCAGCCTCGCAGAGTCTGGCACTTTATAGCTGCACCACTGTCTGGCCCCAAGGTGGTTTTTGGAAGGCTTTCCTTCTTTAGAGAAGTGACAGATGGCAAGAGTCCTTGAAGCAGGACCCAGGGCAGGCGGAAGAGGGATGTGGATGCTTTCCGGGGGGTTCTCTGACACCAGAGGCAATGGTGGTCCCATGGCGTAAGAAAGCCAAGCTCTCTAAGTACAGTGGTCGCTTACAGCGAAAGACTCAGGCTCTGGAGTCCCCTGGACGGTCTTATCTTCATGGTCCCATCCCTCCCCGGTCATGGGACTTTGGGCAAAGTTCCTGCTCTTCCTTTACTGATCTGCCTCTTTAGGGAAGGCCATGAGGATTAAACGAGGCAGGGTATGAAAACTGCTTTGCAATAGCCGACAGGTTGTACAGTGCACGGCGGTGAACGCTGTTCCCTGTAAGTTCCTGGGCAGGGCGGCAGGAGTGGCTACACCGGGGAGGCAGCATCTCTTCCGGGTTCCACAGGGGAATAGGGGCTTCTCTAACGGAGGGCGTGGGTCCAGGTGGAGGAAACCAGACACACAAAGGCACAGAGGCATAAAGTGATGGGGGGCCACACGTAAAGATTGTTTTGGGGTTTTTTTTTTGAGAGGTTTTTGCTATAGGGTGCGTGCGCTCACCAGACAGAGAGACAGAAAACGAGAAGTCACC